AATAATCCATAACACTTCCAGCATGTGAGCAGAAATGAACAAACCCAGTTGATTACATAAAAACAAGAACCGGGAGAACATAACGAAATCTACTGTTGATGACTGCTATTTCATTTAAATAAGCTAAAAAACGTTAGCATCTTTGAGTCCAGGTAGTTCGGTCTTTTCACTGATGGCTGGACTCTGGTAACATCCATATTACATAGGGTTATTAGTTACTTTAATCTGTTTGATAATTATTCATTCTCTTACAATTAAAGTCGGTAGATTCTGACTCCTTTTTCTAGTTCAAGTCGTCTTTCAATTTCATAGAACTTTTAGCAAAACTTCATGCTGGTCACAACACTTAATTTTGTTTCAAGTTGGTAATTGAAATTAAACATTAGTTAAAATTTCGTCGTTCTGCCCATGTCTGTTATTTTGATAAACAGAAAAGAGCTGTCAAACAGATAGACTGCCACCTTTTCCATTGATCAAACTAACAGATATGGATGAAATGAATAACGCGTAACAAATACAAAGTACAATGACTAATTTGCAACAAAATAAGTTATTAATATAAAACTTACTTTTCTCCCACACTAAATTTCTACCAAATATTCTACAAAAAAATCATTTTTTTTTGGTTTCCCCATAACTCTTCCCTACTTTTTAACCACACATTCACCCAAAAGAGAAAAAAAATAAATTAATGAATAAAAAATCACTTTTGAAATATCCTTCACACACAAGCACTAATAGTGACAGCCCACGAAATTTACCCGCATAAATACTCTAGTAATCTTATACCTGTAGAGTTCAATAATGCAAATTTCATACTTTGTTGTGTGAATACCCTTGCCAGCCTATTTATCAGCTCGCCGATTAGTCAATAAAAGTCTTCTATCATGCTCTATTCTAGACCTTAGCCCTTTCCCATCCCTTACAAATTTTGGATCAACATGCCAATCAGTCATTAAAAGTCTTATCTCATCTCTAATCTAGGCTTACCCCAATCAGTCTTACAATTTGTTTTCTGTTGCTAGTAAACCATTCCAACACATAACTTGGCATTGGGAAAATTTAAGACCTTGACGATCTTAATAATTGCATAAGACATGCTTGCGAGAATAGAGTGATAAAAGAGGAGATATTCCAGTTCTCTTCAAAAAGAAGATGCAGATGAAAGACATTCCAGTTCATGTGGAGAAAATCGGGGAGGGAGAGTACTACTCATTTTCCAAACCACAGGAACCTTAAAGAAAAGCAGCATAACACAAATCCCTTAATAGAAATGAATTGAGTAAATTCAGTTAGAAATTCATTTTAATAGAAACCAAAAGTAGAAGAGGTAGTCAGGAACTAGAAGAAAGATGCAGGAAAGGGTTGGGAGGAGGGTGATAAAAATTCACAATCTAACATCTCCAGAGACAGTCAAATAAGCATAGCTATGCTAACGCTTAGAAAGCCAAGATATAACAAAACAGACGGCTAACGTGGTAA